ATGTATAGATATATAGATAAGATACATAGATAACAGATATATTTGTTAGGTGCTTACCGCTTTCGGTTGCGCCCTTTCGAGGGATGACGTGGCGTTCGCTTTGTGCGGAGTAGCATTGATATAATTTCCCATGTCCAAAATCGACTCGGTTTTGTTCACTAGACGCTCTTGAGCGGATCGTCCGATGGTCCCCCGCGGCGTTTGGTTAGTTGGCTTCGCGTTTCGGTCGACTCGCGGCGGAAGGTCCGGAGGGTTATGATGAGGAGATCTAGGCTCGAAGGAGCCGCCCAGGTATTCCGGCGAGCCGGACTGATTGCTCATTTGTCCGGACAGGGAGAAGCCATATTTGCTGTCTCCCACACCGCCTTGGGACCTTCTTTTCTGCTGCTCGAATGACTGCTGTAAATAAATGTGCAGTTAGAGAACGTTAATTTTTCTTCTCGAGAGTCTATCAAATCACAAAAATATCATACAGCAAACATTTTTATAGACACAAAGAAGAAGAAGAAAAATTTACTTACGCTTAAAAATTACACTTAAAAACTTACTTACACTTTCAAGTTATTTTATTTATAAGATATGTATATTGCCTGATAATTCGTTGAATATGGCGGCGGTGCGGTTGTGTCATCTTGAGTAGCAATGCTGGGATCCGAGCTGCTTTTGAGTCGCGATGGCGGGCCCAACGTGCCAGAAATAACGGTTGCCGGACTCAACTCCAGGTCACTCTCCGGGGAGGAAGCGTAGGAGAGGCGAGAAGTCATCGGGAATAGGAAGTCATCCGAGAGGGCTTCTTCCGGCTACGAGCGCAGACCACAGAGGACATCACGTTATGTAAACGATACATATGTATAATAATTGAACGATACAATATACACTTGTGTTGTACAAAGCACGTTAAACACGTTATGTGATGTGCAACATGTAAATTATACTTTTATGTGTATGTGTGTGAGAGTTTTATATTACATTAATATATTAAATGTAAAATATTTCTTCATTTCTTTTTTTACAAAAGAGATGCATTACAAATAATTAACAAATAATAGCTCTTATAAATGCAAAATAAACAAAATATAATTATAATAAAGTGCAAAGTACAAGTGCGTGTGTTTAAAGGCATGCAATTCATTAAAGCATACATAAAGGATTGATGTCATGTAAGATTTGTTCAAACAGTTCTTGAAAGTGTAAGAAATAATGTTCGAAGAAACAAATATTTATTTCTCTATATTTACTTACATAAAAAAATGCATGACTTTTCACTGAATATATTAAGAAAAATTATGTTTTCAAAACTTAATTATAACTAATTCTGACATTTAAACCATTGTTATCAGTCTGGTAACTTTTAAATTTATTAATCGTAATATAGTATTATCATTAATATAACTGTGAAAACATAAAAATTCTGTTCTATTTCAATTTCATCGTAATGAACTTCAAAAATATATATATTTCTTTAAATGTTAACGACTAACACTGAGATTGATCATTACAAGTTATAATTTTAAAGAGAAAAAATAAACGATAAGGAGATAACGACTTTTAAGGAGAGAAAATAAACGACAGATCCAATCATGCAGAAATACAAAACACAAAATGAAGGAAAGCATGCATGAAGTATTAATAAAGAAACAGTAAGCAGTATCTATATATAGCCGAAAAATTGCTCACGGATGACATCTGAGTTCAGAGGCAATTGAGGAAGCAGCGGAGGTTCTCTCGCGAGAGATGCCGACAATATTGATGGCTGATAATGCGACAAGAGCACCTCGTGATTCTTATTCTCGTCGTAATATATATTGTTGTTGGGAAGCGGAGGAGGTGGGAGGACAGGAGGTGGAGTGTGAGCGTGTATAGACGGATGCGATAACTCCCACACCGTATATCGGTTATATATCGGCTATAACAAACAGGCCCAGATTACGCGGAGAGTACAATGGAGAGTGTAATACCAGCGACTGAAGATAGATCGTGACGTTCGTAAGAGAGATGAAAACGGAAGATGAAATCACAGAAAAAGATGCCAAAGACCACCCCAATATCCCTTTCAGCTGTGCTTTCTTACACTTTCTACATTCGAAATGAAACGGGGTCGGTATGTTCAATCTTTAGAGAGTGGAGAAAAGGGAAGAGAAGAACAATCATAGTAAAAGAACGTATCTAAAAATCGATAACGAAGTATGAAATGAAAAATTATAATACATATGAAGAATGTTACTGCGAAAATTTATTTGCTCTTAAATGGCCCTTCTTTCTCGATGTCACGTAATTTAAGAGCTATGATCATTTCGATTTTTTTGGTTAAAAAAAGTCAACTCAAAATTCATCAAAAATTTCATAACTAACATAAGATATATAAGTAACATAAGGTAACATTCGTGCTTTTTACAACACCGTACGTAAAATCGAATAGTCTTACCTTAGTCTGACTCATCCAAAGTGAACCTTGTTGTTGGCGGTCGATGAGCTCTCTGAGCTTCCGATACCAAGCTTCAGGAGCATTGAGAGTAATCACCGCACTGAAAACATGTCCCCAGATCTTATCGAGTTTTTGGCACTGCTCTAAAAGCTTCTTGCTGCTTTTATGCGCTGATCTGCAATCAAACATCGAATATTATGTATTGCAAATATTGAAACAAATATATGAAATTTGTTTATCTCACGTTGTCGTTCTTACTTTGGTATGCCAGCTCTCATTTCTTTGATAACTTGCTTCGTCTCGGCCTTCAGGAAGATGACAATCGGATAAAACTGAGCGTAATTTAATCGGTCTACAGCATTAGGAGTGATGTCTAACAACGCGTGTTTTCCTCGGTCCATCACTTCTCTGATTGCGCTCAAGCGGATGATGCCAGACGTTTTGGTGTTCTTCCCCGCGCCATCCTCCATTTGGCTTTCCATTTCTACATCAGACATCGTTGAATTTACAAACTGATGTTTAGCACAGCATATCTCACTTTGACAAAGATATCAACAGTCAATAAAAGACAGCTAACGTGTCGCTCACTTACGCGGAGAGGTGAATTTATCGGGGAAATCCTTGAGAAGTTTCTCTCTGGCGAGATCGGCTACGGGCCCAAAGAGAACGACGGGTCTGATGAAGCCAGGATGTCTCAGGATCACGCGCTCATAAGCTGGGAACTTGCTGACGCTGTCGGAGAACACCACGTCGTCCCAGTGATCCTAGATTATATCGAAAGGGACATAAAAGCCTGTCTAAGTTGCAAAAGTCTTGTTAAAGTTAATTCTTTCATCCAATGTCTATATGTCTTTTTGGAAAATTCGGAAAAAAAAAAGAACTCTTACCCTTCCCAGAGACTTCGATCGCCGATGGCTGTTTCTTCTTCTTCTAAAGAAGCTACCTCTGCTCTCACTGGCGCTCATCTCCTTCTTCGTCGCATTGAATTGCGCGGTTGCGAGCTCCTCGGCCCGAGCTTTATTGGGTATGATGCCCTTCTGCACCTCCTGATTGTTACGTCCGATCCGGAAGACCTGCCAAGATCCTACGACACCGTTGTGAAGAGTGTCCACTACGTGAAAGACATCTCCGCTGCGAAAACTCATCTCGCCTTTCTGCGGTTGCTCGTAATGGAAATGTGTCCTACACATTTCACAAAATACGTTAATAAAGTTAATTTTGAAAGTCTAACTCGTCTTGCCAATTACAATTGTTCACAGAGATTCTCTTTTTCAATTCCGAAGCACTTTCATCTTTTCATGTTGTTGCACTTTGATGCAGTTGTATAAAAGAGAATAACATGAATGAAGTGGAATTTTTATTAATTATTAATGTGGGATTAGTAATATTCTGCTAATACTGATTGTATATATCTATATCCAAGAACCATACTTGTTCGTTTCACATTAAAATGTATTTAGGGATTAATAATTATATCGTAAACGTTATGCTTACTTTATATGAAAAGAATCTCCTCTACCGGATGCAACGATCTGATCGTACTCCTGACGACGATGTTGCACGATAAGATCGATCTGTTCTTGTAAGCTGAGAAGAAAAAGTACAGCCTCCTCCCTGGTAACTCCTTTCATATCCATGTCGTTTATCTGTCGTAATAATACTTTGCATTTATAATTTTGTTCATATTTCAAGTATCTAAGCTAAGAGATGTTAACGATAAAAGAAGCGACTTCTTAATTGTTTTATGACTTGCACTAGCACACGAGCGTCATATAACTGACCTTTAAAATCTTATCTCCTGGCTGAAGACCCTGAAGTGACGCGGGACTTCCCGACTGAACTGCAGTCACGAAGACCCCGGTTTCGTTACCGCCACTTAATCGCACTCCTACGGATCCTTCCTTTTGGAAGGTAATGAATCGAGGATCCGGCCTGTACACGCGCAATATTGAAAAGATATATTACGTGCTGTGACAGGATCCAGCTATTGTACAAAATTGAATAACATATCGTTAACTTACATAGGCTGCTTGGACCGAGGCGAGACCGAATCTTCGTCGTACAGTTGTCTACGCGTGCTATAATAATCTACGAACGAAAACAACAAGTTAATAAAAACACGCAGAACTTGATCCTTTGATTCGTCATCGCAGAATTTATCTTGATAGAAACGATTTTTATAACTTTGATCTTGAGAAATAATCCTCGAGCGTTTATCACGATGTATATAAAAATCTCACATGAGACGCAAATTTGAAAACTTGTTTCAGAAAGTAGTCTCCCACTTGTCTCGCCAGCGACAGTTGATTACATTCCGGTTCTAAACCGCGTACTCACGTTCTGCGATAAGGCATCACCGATTGTAAATATACTATATCGCGATTCCATCGCGACACATACCTTCCGGCCTGGGCGGAGGTGGCCTGGGTGGATCCACTGTGGGTGTAGCTGGTAGATCCAGTTGGCTCAGAGAGACGTCCATCAGCGGACCCCGCGAACGACCTCTCGGCACGAGGTTACTCTTGTCCTCCAAGGGCTGTCTCGTAGGTGGCGGAACGTATAAGTTCTGACTACTGTAACTCGCTCCCGACAGGTATTCACCGCTATCCCCTTTACCTTGCTGCTGTGCGTGGCAACAGGAGCTGTCCCGCGTAATTACTATCGAGAGTCTGTCTTTGCACTGGTCCATCAGCTTTCTAGCTTCCTTCAGACTCATATTGTCGGCGGCAACGCTGCCTATTCGGGTTAGCACGTCCCCGTTTTTCACTCCGATATTTTCTCGCGTAACCTCCTTTACGTACAATCGACATCCCAGCACTATGCCAAAGTCTAGAAATCGAGGCGACATCATTACACCTCGCTTTATTGAGGAAATAAAATGAACGTGCGATGCGAAAAGGCATATAAATCGCCACAAATAGAAACCTCGAGAGAAATTTATTTGCAAAGCAATATTTCAGCTGCATGAAGAAAAGAATGCGAAAGGACACTCCTTATATTTATCTTTTTTATCTCTCATAAGTACTCTCATAAGTAATTACACTTGTGGTTTTCCCTAATACGGCATTCAACAATTCTCTTTTATAGACAATATAAAAAGCTATAAACTAAAAATTAATTTAAAGAAAGAGAGATTCAAACTATATCAAAAAAAATATATATATAAACTAAATCGAGGGTTACATTAAATTAAATTAATCGTTTTAATTAGAGTTCAAAGTTAACAAAATGGCCGATAGATAAACGTATTGATTGAACTCATGTTATTTAATTATCATGCGATCGTTACACAACGTTTAATTACGTACCGTCTTTTTTATTATTTCGTGTGAGAGTGAGTCGATGACTCTGAGGACCCGCGCTGCCCAAGCAACCCGGCGAATTCGAGAAGACTCTTCGTTTAACAACCAATAAAACGGTAGAACCGGAATCCCTCAGGACCCGCACGGCAGCACCGTAATCCGCGCCCTCCAACGAAACTCCATTGGCGGATATGATACGGTCGTTCACTCTATTAATTATACAATCGAGTGATATTATCTCACTCTAAATAACTTAGGTTAAAATAACGTATTAAAACAAATGGAGATTCTTCAAAACGATCAAAACTTCAAAGAAATTTCTGTGTCAAATTGGCACCAATTCCTTTCATCGAGACGTTAGCAATTTTTGACTTACAAAATGAGAAATGTATTTCTCTATGTTAAATACAACCTGAGAAGATAGAAAGAAAATACTTGAAATTTTATTTCAGAGATATAAAAGATATCTATAATATAAAAGAGAGAGATATAAAATTCATTCACACAAATATCAACTTTATTTCACAGAAATAAACTTCATATTCCACAAATAAATTTTCAAATGTCCTTTCTCAGTGCATAGTTGAAAGAGATTCGAATATATAATCGAATAGTTAGACTCACAGCAATTTTCCTTCAGCCGGACCAGCCTTGAGCACATCGGAGATCGCGATTGCTGGATCTCCATTAGTGAAGTGCGGATTATCGCGACCTCCTGACACGGCTATACCGAAACCATAACCGGGCACTCTGGTGACCGTAACATGGTGGATCTCCCAGCCTCTGTCCCCGGCCTAAAATTTAAAAACAGAATTTACCGGTTTCAGGAGCAGAGTGACGTGTCATCTATATGCAAATTAACAACCACAATAATAATAGTATCGCGCGATGCGACGCGACGAGACGAGAGAGCGTCGACCGCGGGAATACTCTTTCGCAACGATAAATAAATTAACATTTAACATTGCGCACAATTGACGCGTTCAATTGGTAGTCGAAGGACGGCGGTATCGCCTAATTGAAACCTGTAATTCATTTCCTACGCACGTGGAAGCGTGCACAATGGAGTAATTATGTGCATTCCGTGAAGCTCCGTGCCTAACTCTACAACACCGTAGTTTCCCTCGAAACATACTCCGCTTGAATTAATGTTAATAATCATCAAGCATTCATCTGCCGTGATAATTGGATTTCGGTGCGACAACGAGTGGGAACAATGAACCGTGCGTGACCGGTGCGTGTTTCGTGCCGTGGGGTTAAAATCGCGCGTGAGTTCCGCAATTCGCCGCGGATAAATTTAGCCCGAAGAACTTATGAATCGCTTGTGCGAGCACGTGGTGGCGAGCTCTCTCCCTTCCTATGAGAACGCGATCAACGGATATAATTCAATGCCCCCGTATCGAATGGCGGATTTATCGTGGAGACCTCGTAGAGACGCGACACCATTTCCGATCCCATGCTCGATCGAGTATCACGTCCCACGACACGGTGCACACGACAATTCCAAAGGGACGGAAAGTCACGGGCCAAGTGTGCTGTCTGCCTCGCGTTTCATGCATTCGCTTGCTAACAACGACCACAGACGATCTTTGATCGTGAAGTGACTGAAGCGGACTAGAAAGAACCCTCTTACACTATTCAACATTCCGCCCTAATGAAGAAAGAAATATGCGTCGACGAAGCGAAACACACTTCAATTCTTCATGGGACATTCAGCAAATAATCGTTTCGCGCGAAGGCTAGAAGGCGGCCAGAGGAGAAAATAATAAGGGAGCTCTATTTTTAGAAATCTCTCTCGTATGCAGCGTGTCAATTGTCATACAAGTGACATTCTGGGCGCGCCCGAGACGTGCTATTCTCGAAGACGCGCGCGCGTCCCGGACTTATCCCGGAATGCATAACAAGGACGCATAATTAGAATGGACGATTTGTTCAGCGTAGACGTGACACGATCATTGGCGCCGCGAAAATCGACGCCAAGACCTTCGCGCCCCGGGTGGCCCTTTTCTTGCGATCGCGCGATTTTGCACGGAGCAATCGTCGTCTCGCGCTTCCCGTCTTAAATCCACCATCTCGAAGAAATCTCGGATGCGCTACCTGGCCGTCGAACCCGCCCGAGGAATTATGCATTGTGCCGTGAGTCGACGAGGTGGAGTTCGGCGGGGATCCGGAGTTTCCCACGTGACAGCCACCGCCGACGCCGACGCTGCCGCCTCCACCGCCGCTGCCTCCACCGCCGCTGCCGCCGCCACCGCCGCTTCCGCCGACGACCCCAACAACGTTGTTATCGCTCCTGTCCATCCTTGCGAGGAAGACCTGTCTTCTCGAACCCCTCGTACGCGCGCGATCTTGCAAGACGATTCTCACGGGCCGCTCCCTCGCACACTTCCGCCGATTCGCGAGCCAACGAGCATCCCTCCTCCCCCAAACACCCACTTTTTCATGAATCACGCAGGATTGTGTCGCGCGGAAGTAGCGTGTCGCAAGCCACCAGGTCGCCGCGACTCCGTCGCAATCGCATCATGCACTCCCGTATACGTGGTGAAGGCGCGATCGCGTCGATCGATGGCTCGCGGCTCTTGCGTAAAAATTTGTGAATTCTGTTCGCGGAGAAAACCGTCACTGCGAGGAGAAGCTGTCGTCTTGTCGCTCTTGATCGATGAATGAAAAGATGTGGATCCGTGTGCTACTTAATCGGGAAATGTCATCGGCTCTCAGTCATCGATGTGCCTTGTCAAGAGAGAGAGAAACTTTGTCAAGAGTAAGTCTTTACGTCCGCTCTTCGAATACTCAGGATGGCGAATAATGATGATTCCCTTTGGACAGAAGGCTAACAGGAGCTGATAGGAGCGCAAAACTTACAATTTCACTGTTACTTCAGTCAAAGGTCCCAGGCAGAGATCAATTCGTACATCCGTCTGTTTTCCATTCGTTTTCTTTCGTTATTCTCACCGATATTTCCGCACGATCGAGACAAAAGTGTGACAAAAGTGCTCGTTGTGTTCTTTCAATCTCGTCGCTGTTTAAACTCCACCTACATAAACCATCGAATTGTCCAGCTGACACTTCGCAATTCCGTCAGACGTTACGTGTTCTCGCACGTGACGAATTTGCTCCTTTCGGCGGAAAACCGAGCTCTCCTTTCGCGACGCGGGATCGCCACCTGTGTCTCTTGGTACTCGGCAGCCTCAGCGAATTTGACTGGTCCGCGATTTCTCTCACATGCCCAGACGATTTCACAGACGGCTGACCGCGTGGTCCACGACTGACCCGTTTTTCCTCTCGCTGCCACGAGAATTTCCCTCCTGCGTTCCGCTCTCCGACTCTCGCGACTCGACACTCGCTCCTGCTCGCCTTGCTCGGCCACGCAGCCGCGCTTTTCGTTGCAGCTTCGTCGTCGTTTGGACGCGGTGTAGCGTGAAGCGTTCGATTTCGTTCGGAAGCCACGCGGCTTCCCACCGAGTACTCGATCTCTCGGCACCCTCCTCAGTAATATAGAAACTCGCTCGTTTTCCGCCCTCTCACGCTCCTCCGGAGTTTTTCACCCAGGCAATTCTAAGCTAAATTGAATTCCACTCAATTTTAATTTTACACTCTCTCTCTCTCGACCGGTCGTATTCGTCCTCCCCGACGTGTTTCTTGGATTATCCTTTATTTCCGCGTAATCGATATTGCCTTCGAGTTCGTCTATTTCTTTGCGCGCACTTGTTGATTCCCTCTCTGACTTCTCAGGAGATTCAAGATGTTACCTCTTTTTCTTTATTCTAGATAACTTTTGCGCTTCCAACTGGACGAAAGGACATGCCGGTTAAAAAAGCGAGCGACGAGGAGTTGTCGAATCGATTGTTTCGCTTCGATTCTCACGACTCGAATGTGTTTATCCTCGGGGAAACTTGGGAAACCTCGTCGATCAGCAACGCTCGTTCATCTTATAATGAACTCTTTGTGTACACTCGACCGATCATGAAGATATACGCATCGTGCCGAAAACAATCACGAGGAAGCTCGGTACGCGCGGTAATTTCTGTAACGAGGCAGTTTCAAGCGGCGTGTATAATTATCACTACGACGGCCGCTTCCCGCGGAACTTCTCTCGTTTCTTTCGGTCTCACCTTCTTTCTTGCCTTTCCTCGCGTCTGTATCCTCGTCTCTCACACGGTACAGAAATACATCGCGTTCCGCGCCGACCGGAAGCGCATTTCCAAAAACCCGCTGAAGGCCGTCGACGCAAACAGGTTCCTGACGACCAGCGAGCCGCCACGGTCGCCCAACGAAAGCATCGAAACCGGACCGCGATTTAAATCACCGTGCACCGGGACGACCTCGCTCGTCCTCACCTCGCTCTCGTCGATCTATTCGAAGCTCAATATCGCGAACACTCCTCACACCACCGTCGAGATCCACTTCAATCCTCGAGTCACAACTCGGGCTCACTTACTACTCTTTCGCTCAGCTTCTTCTTCGACTAGCTGAAAACTGCAACTCGATCAATTCGAAGTCCCGGCTCTCAGATCCGTTTGAGAGGATGACTTAACAGTCGGTCGACTTACGACACAAACTTTCTCGAAGTCACTATCGACACAATTCCCGGTTCCCCAGCTCGTGGTTGCGTCCAGTCACCAGGATCGTGCGTTTTCTTGACTGAGATCTATGGTGCAACTGCTCCAACGTAGCACATAACGAATGGCAGCGCATCACCCGGAGCAATTACGATTGAAGCAACGTGCTCGGCGATTCTTCGTCTGCGCGTATCGATATATCGACACTCTCTAATACGGGATCCTCCACAAGTATACTTCACTCCCACGTTCGCGGGCGTAGATGCACGTTGCACGGGTGCACCTGGAATGGTCCTTCAAGTCTCCACGTATCATCTCGTGCTGCACGCGTGCATATAGCCTTTGCGTTTGCAACTTCAGCAGCAGCAGCAGCGTTCATGGACCTACGAGATCTCTTTCTCTCTCTTTCTTTCTCTTTCTCTCTCTCTCTCTCTCTCTCTCTCTTTCTCTCTCTTCCTCTGTCTCTCTCCCTCTTTCGGGACAACTTCCAGAACAGGACTTTGAAGTCAAGAACGGATAAATAAAAAAAAAATGTCCCTCTACCAGGCGAAGAAGCTCTGGCGACGAATGCGATCGGCTTCTCTATCGCCAGGTCGACTGATCGAGGTAGAATCGGCCGAGGACTGCAGGGACGCAGAAGGACGGAGCAGTGCTGGAGAAGAGGCCGTGTTGAACACACAAGAGAGTCCCATAAGATAGAAAGAGAGAGAAAGACAGCTGGAAAAGGGGGGACGAGACAGGAGGGAGAAAAGAGAGAGAGAAAGAGAGGAAAGAAGGGCAAAGAGGAGGACTGGGTTCGAGAGCGTGTCGACACCGGTTTTGCCTGGACGGCTCGCTTAGTTGGCAAGACTGTAGGTAGAGGTCGGTCTTCAACGTCTTGCCCTTGCAAATGTATGTGTGTGGGTGTGTTTGTGCGGGCGCGTTTGTACGAGCGTACACGCACATGGCTAGACTACGAGACATTAACTGGAATATGACACACCTTACGCCAGCTGGAATTCTGCTGTGACGGCCTGGGTATCTGCTTTCCGTTTCTCTACTCTTTGTTCTGGAACCAAAAGTGTCCTGATGACTAGGACGAACTCTTTTGGACAAAATCATCGTGGGGTCGCAAATCTTGTCGTCGACTTTTGGCCGAGCCTCGTGCATTTAAAACGAAGCGGGTGTATGCTCAGCCACTGGAGAAAGAAGAAAAAGAAAAAGAAGAACGGAAGAGAGGAGAAACGGATCTGTAAACATTGAACGGTTTAGATCCTGGGTCCGCTGTCGAATTAAAGAGTTACGGCTGAAAACAGCGAACCTCACATAATCCCACAAACGAAACGAAAGTCGACCTTGAACGGTCAGAAAAACGTGCACCATGGGAGAAATGTGTAATCTGACGTCATATGGCTGGTTCAAAGACCGGTCAACGCGAGATGCTAACTGTAGAGATCGCGAAAGCGATCGATTTACGAGGTTACTGATGGTTTATTCTCATCATGAAAAACTGATGTTCACTTTCTACAAACGTCAATACTACGTCAAACGTCTGTTTGTCTATTCATATTTGTTAAGTTATTTATACATGAAACTATCGTCCAAAGTCTGATGAAACCGTCTGACCGTTCTTTCATCCATTAATACCTGACTTACGATGCAGTCTACAATTTTCTCCTCTTTCTTTGATAAATTAATATAAAGGTGTCACGGTTTATTGCCTCAATAATTTTGCATTACTGTCAATATCGCGATAGTTATGAATTCACTCTTCTTGAAATCGAGCAGCAGCTTCCGACACGGTCACACGCGCGCGCACACGCACACATGTAAAAAGAAGGAAAATCGCTGTGAAATGCGACTCCTATGTCGATTCAGCGTGATACAAAGTGACTTGGGTGCTGATGATTCATAAGTTTTATAAGGTCGCAATGGTTTTCAGTGAGATCACACGGCAATGAAACAAGCAAGACACACTCGCCGCGATCGGATTAGATTACGCTTTTACACTAATGAGAAAAATTACGCTCGCTTCCCACAGCGCACGCCTCATTACGGATGAATCTGGTTAGCCATCGCGCTGAATGTGGATGAGCGGGTAACGGATTTGAAAGGGAAAATCCGACGGGGCTACCGTACCACTTTTCGAGCGTGTCGACGAGAATATAGATCGCGCCGCGTGAAACAAGGAATGCGAGGAACGATGTTACTCGCCTATTCGCAAGTTCTTCCTTTGTACACAATTCCAGACGTTTCTGACAGAATCGTGAAAGTCAATCGCGCAGGTCTTCCTCTACATCTCGCGCGTTCAAAATTCCAAAAATTGTCTAACATTAATTCTGCACGTGTGTAAAATGATACATAAAGTAATTTAATTATTTCGGCATATATGCATGATAAGAATTTAAGAAAAAAAAAAACAGCACTCGAATTACGAGACTGAATTTTACACACGCGGAAAAGCGCTATGGATAGAGTAACCTTGCAATCGCCTTGCGCATGAGGGAAATGTTTAGGATTATAAAACGCCTACGGATACATGTACGGCCAGCGCATGACTCAAACATCCAGAAAAAGTCTTACCGAGCGTCGTAGCGCGAGAGAATAACCGGATCCCAAAGAAAATCGTTATTGATCGGTTTAGAATAATCGGCTGGGTAAAACATCAATGTGGCGTCGTCGATATCAGCGGCATACGCACGTTGATTACCGTCATTAACGGCATTAAAGTTGATTAGACAGCGGTATTGTCGAAGAAAATAAAAACTGACTCTCAATTCCCGAAAGACGTAAGTCCACGCGTCCATTTCTTCGGGAAAAGAGAGAGAGAGAGACGTAGCATATAATCAAAAATCGACAAGCGACGTCACGCGCGAAGAAGAAAAGAAATGTACAGAAAAGCGACATGCAATGCGCAACGTAATCGCAAATAAATAGCGAGCATTAATCTCTCGCAACATCTTTCGCCCGAGCGAGCGAGCGACGAAAGTGCATAGAGCGCAGGAAGCAGCGAGAGTAGCGGCGGGCATGCTCGATTTAGCAAGAAGCAACGTCATTCATGAGCAAGAAAATAATCATTCGACAGGCACCTCGCACAAAAACTTATCGCCAACTTCGGAACGGTCAAACCCGACGACATTTCCCGTGGAATGTGCGCGACCCAGGTAGACGTACCTGCCGCGGCAGGTAGCTGCTTCAGCCTTAGCACAGCTGGGCGAAAGATAAAGCGACATGAAGGCGTGGTGCGTATTTGAAGACCACTCGTCTCGTACCCGGTGTCTTATTACCGTCAAGTGAAATTTTAATGCCGCGGAGAGAAAGGTAAAAATATAAAACATCCCGATTCCATCGCAGACGTTTGATTTTACGGCATTATAATTATAATTTTATCGCGCCACTCTCTCTCTCTACACTGGGTTTGGAGTTTTACTTTGTAGAACCCGGGCTATCTTGTATCTGAAATTTATGTATCTTTCGTCAGAAGTATCAAGGAAAGCTTAACTTTTTCATATCATGTCGTTCATATTTACGTATGCTACATCGTTTCTCTGTGAAGGAGAATCACTGAAAGAAAAAAAGCAGATAGGAATGACAGAATTAAATGTTGGCGCAAGAATAAGTTGCGTTGATACCGACCAAATCGCGATCAAACTGAATCAATTGATAGCTCATCACAGTAACTATATAATCAGCTGAACGTTTGCTGGAATAAATTCTGTTCGTTCAAGCAAAGTCTCATTAACCGCTTTTCCTTCTCAGTGATCAAATATTGATAAAGTGACATTTGAAACCAAACTGCATTGTCATTATACTAACGATGGGCTTGCTCAACGAGCCCGCGATGGTGTTTTCTCCAGAGATCGAAGATTCTGAGACACGCCGTGTTTACCTGTCGCGTTGACCTCCCTGCGTTTTCACTTGTCCGTTCGTTTACCTACGCATTTAATGCGATTGCCCGCGCACGCCAGCACTAATACGGCCGCGGTCATCGTGCAAGTAAAAATGACGATACCTCGTTCACAATGCCGTCCACGTAGGCGCCACGCGTCACCTGACTTACTCGCGCGTATATAAAAACTTGAAGTATCAAATACCGTTCGGTGCAGTTGCAAAAATCGAAATCAAAGGTCATCGGATACGTCGCGCTCGGCTGCTATTAAAAAGTCAATAATAAATATATACACTTTCTACGAGTCTTTGATAGCGAAAAGAAGTGGCGTCGAAAGCGTTAATAAGGTAAAAGCGTGTTGGCCGCTGCAGTCATTGGAAAGTCGCGAGGTGTAGGATTGCACACCTGCCGAGACAGCGGACTAGAAACGTCTCGAGATGCAACAGCACCTTTACATCTGCATGATATTTGCGCGATCTAATTGACAAATATGCCTAATCAAGATCACATGGAACACGCAGCTATTCGTGTTAGATTTTACTCGCACGAGACATTCACCTGGCACACAAACGGAATAACAGAGAGTAACCCGCGCCAGATACATCGGAATTTCCTTCAGAGGGGAAAAAAGAACGGATGATAATTGCTGTGTGTGCAATCGAACACGCGAGTGCGCGTCTAGCGTTCGTATATCCGATTATGCGGTCACTTCCCGTGAAATTATGGCCGGTTGCCCGCATTCTCGGTGCTCATTTAGCACTAAACACGATTGCTCGGCTCTCTCGACTCGTCTCCTCTACACACGGGACGGATATTCTCTCCTCGTATCAGAGAAATAAAATTCACAATCGGACGATCGTATCTCGTCCCGAATCATGTGCTCTCACAGACAAAATTCAGTTTCATATGCAGTGGATATTAACGGTGTAATTAACGAGCTGAATAAGAAGGAGTTGATATGTACTAACAGTTCTCTCTAGTTGGCGTGTGCTGTCCTTAAAAATGGCACATACCGTAAATAGCGGGGAAACGAGAACGCTAAGAAATAACCGGATAGTTGCCGGTTCTCTCGGCGCTATCTTCTGCACGCGTGCAACTGTGACGTGTGCGTGAATGCAGCATCGTCGTACAAAGATCACTCGGCACTCGATTTACCGCAAAGACGTAATAGATCTACACAAGGAATTATAACCACGATATTTAATCTCTGTTACGTAGCGAGGCGTTGTACAAACCGTTCAAATTAAAAAAAAATGAGTTCACTTTAGCAAATCTAACTGAGAACCCCATGTGGGGTCGGTTAGAAGAGATCAGCTCGACTTTTCAGACAGATTTGACTTTATTGTCTTCAACTGATGCTAAAACTGATTATTCGTCATGTAAATGATTGTCGTCGTTTTTTATGATTACCGTGGATTACATATCTCCTTCACTTCGCTTCCACGGCTTCATTGAGAGCGCACGTAAACCACAACGCTCTCGGATGCCCGCCACGAGGGCGGAACTTCCAACCCTTTGTCGATAGTTAAAAATTTACCCGCCTTAAAACTGATTAGAACAACGCGCGTCAGTTCAGTCTGGATGTCTCACTTTCCTTATCTGAAAAAAAATCTCGATGCGCCACACCGGAACCGCTCATTTAATTCCCACGTGGAGAGAATCAAATTTGACGATCGTTAGCCAATGTTCTGTCAGCATTCGTGTACATCCGTCGTACACGGAGAGAATATTACATTTTTTTATCATATAAATTCTTTCTAATTTTCCCTATATATGTTTTAGTAGTCCAAAAACAGACTATCAGTCTATCCGGCTAAGAAACACAATGAATTTCGTTGGAAACATAGCAAGTGTTTTAATGGCCTATTTTGGTTTCTAAAATATCAGAAGCACATATGAAATAAAAAGATAGTAAATTACTACGGAATTACTACTATTTCTCGGTTACAAAATAAATTTTTACGATAAAATTCTCTCTGAGAGAGATTTATTGAACATTGTATCTCGAACTGACTGACTTTCTTTGACTGACTCAATGAATATTTCATTCAAGTTAGCGCGACGGCTCAAACAAACATAATTCCTAATAAGTACCGTCAATATAACATGATCTTGTACGACCTGGCACTCGAATTTCGCTTTCGTATTCACTTACCTTGTGTTTACGCCGGTAACGCCTTGAACTGCCACCACCGGTGCCGAAGAGGAAGTCATCCTTCAGCAGATGCGCGTCGTATGTCCTGTTCGCGGCCCTCTTCTTCGACGTAGTCTTCCGCGACTTCTTGTTGACGGTATGTCTCTTCTTCTTACTCCTGAAGAGCTTGCGGAAGATCTTCATGCTGCTGACTGACTGGCCTGATTTTTACTCAAGCACAACGCGAGAGCGAGCCAAGCTCGCGATCGGCAGGCAACGACTATCACTGAGGAATATTATCCTCTATGCGAGGATCATTACGCACATACGCGATTGTTGCACAAGAGCGGGTAGTCGCGTCGCAGGATTAAACGCAACGCAAACGACGCCGGTTCACGGCCAACTGACGATCGAGGAAGATTAACGAGAGTCACGTTCGTGAAATCACGCTCGCGAGAGCCGCGAGTGCTCAATGCACTCGAACGATGCGCGCCAAGCCACTAAACGCGCCACTACGTTTACTCGAAGGCCCATGGTTGTTACTCATCGCGACGTGCCATGTGCGATGGGGGCGGCTCATGGCTTATCGTCGTCGTTACACGCGATACACGCACCAGATCAACACACGCGGCTCTGAAATCCAGCAGTGATTTCTTCCGCGGCTCGGTCGCACGTTCGATTAATCGATCGCACGAAGCCCCGCACGCGCGCGTCTCGCTTCCGCGTACGGAAAGAGCTCATCACCGCGGAAACTCCGGCCAAGCCTATTGACTGGTAAATTAAGTTTCACGGCTGGATAATCAGGCTGAATAATCTGTCTTCGATTATCCGCGAGTCGATGCTTCCCCCTCGTTCGAGCTGTTGAACAAAGAAAATTCCTGTTATTTCCCTTTTTCCTCCAGGATTTTTCTCTGAGACAGGCGTTTTCAATGGAGAATCGTTCTGTTTGCCTGCCTTAAATCAATGGATATTTCGATGTCGCTGCGCAATATATTCGAAGATCCTGAGCGCGATAGAAAAAATTCACAGGTGACAGGAAGAATCGCTCACCTTGATTTCTCATCAATGAGGTCATCGCACTTCCTTTCGCATTGACGTCGGTTACACCGGATGCACCGTCAAAGGACGCGCGAATTAAATGCATGAGGCGCGAAGGCAAAGCACTCCCACCTGGAAATCAAAGATGCTGATTTAGGTCTCGCTTTGACTCCGACTTCAATTCGGCTGCAAAAAGCAACGATTTCCGTAGTCAATTTCACGTAGACATTAAGTGGCATCGCACTAACGCGTTCAGGAGAAATAAGTCGTTCGACACAGCAAGAATTAAGTCGATAATATAAGCAGCTATTTTACAACACATCACGATCTAACATATAAAATATCATAACCTTATCTCTTCAGTAAACCTACTCGGAATCATTCAAACTGATCGATAACATCGAGGTCTATTTGTCGGCTATACGAATGTTTATCAAATTCCAAGTCTCTCAAGTCAAACGCGTACTATCTACCTTCTACATGAGTGGGTTTGTGCTATTTGAGTATCTTATAGAATTCGTTACATCATGCGACTGATAAATATGTGCAACTGATATATCTTAACGCTATCAATAGCTAACTAGTCTGCACAGTTAATTCATATTTTATTTTCTTAATAAAAGCACAAATTGATCTCGTTGGAAAAAAAGATATCCCGAGAACGTTAATTTCTCTCTCCCTCTCTCTCTCTGTGTGGTAAATATTTACAGCAAACTTAATGAACAAAACGTATTTAAAATACTCGATGTCTTAACGCTCATTTGCATACACATGCGGCACATCAATGGCGACAAATATGGACCGTCTATAATGTAATGAGATAGTGACGTGACATCTCGTCGCCGACAACGCCCATCGATGGATACATATATAGACGTTGACACATTTGTTATTACATGAAGCGGCACATGCAGCCGCTCATTTCTGTTGCCTGCATATTTACGCCTGCCTCGTGAATTTTCTTCTACGTCAAGCGCTTTTGCAATCAATCTTGCATAATGGCAGTGTATGCACGTGATGATAAAAAAAATGTAGCGGGAAAGTCAACGTACGTGCTGTGGCATACAAAGCTAATGAGTACGTTAAAAAGTTATTTTAGTGAAAATATATTAATAAGATAATTATTAGTGTGCGATGATAAATTAATATATTATTTGCACTTGGTGCTTCGTTATAACGATAACGTCAACATTATGATGTGTCCGCGATAAGTATGTATTCCTGACACAATTAAAAATCTTTTACTCATGAGGTCACTCGCAAGTGCATTGAACAAGAAACGAGCATGCTCGAGATTCGTGCGCTCGGCTTTCTCTTTTGAACAAAGCTCTTTATGTATTACAAAAGTCGATTGTCGCACTTGTGATTCTACCAGCGTCTTAATCTTATATTTAACTTCAATTCAGTATTTCGTGTGAGTACTTCGAAATCGCCACGTTTGCAGAACAACAGGCTCTTTATACATACATTTCACACAGTTACGTTACGTGTGCCTTACATTGAGTAAAGATCGCACGACCAGTAGCTAATCTAATCATATATTTCCGCTAAATTAAGACGTTTCTGCGTGTTTTTCTCAAACGCGTGGGTCTATGGCTTATGGTGGGGGCTTTCGCCAGACGCAGCTAGTTCATAGCACTTGAAGGCGTTGACGACAAGTCATCTCAGCAAGATCTAATAGCATAAGCCGAACGATTCTTCTGGCCTGACACAAAGCTCTATTTCACAAAACTGACAAAAAATTCGTGAAAATCTCTCTTCGATGATTCATCAGCCAGATCCTCATTTCTGGATCTTCATCACGACAACCTTGAATCGTAATACTAACTTAAGCGGAATATTTTGGTGCGACAAACAAAAGGAGCCCCTCGCGACATCGCTAATCGCCATAAGCGATGCTGTTCAACACACGAATGGTATCGAGCGTGCTCCTCTGATGACGAAGATGACGTATGCATAAATGTATTGAAGATATAAATCACCGCGATAACGCGTGTCGAGCGGGTTGAAGAATGCCCGGCACGGAGAGCACGAGTTTCTTTCTTTTTCCACCAGTGTAGCAACACCCACGTCTTTTTTATCGTAGACGCGAACTCGCAATTTTTCTGCACCAACTGTCTACTTCTTCGTTCCGTCTCTCAAATTGTTTCCTTTGCCAGTTAGACAATGGGCACGACCACGATGGTGCGCGCTGATAAATCAGACGCCGAGACGAAATCGAAATCTTTAATCGCCTTGCCGGGTAGTGAAAAGCAAGTTTATGTGCCGCAGACGCTGGAAAGTACCGAACACTCATTGAACGTAGGAAGGAAGCGCTTTCAATTTTTGGCCAGTTTGTGCGGTGAGTATATGTGAGAGTCTGAGAGAGAAACCGAAAGCGTCAAGTGCGCTCAATGAAAAAGACATAGTGATGACAATGAGTATCGTATCTAAAATTAATGTACATGATAAATTATTTTGTAGCTATTGTAACCAAAACTTTAGTTGCAATAATTACAAAATGATTTATTAAACTATATGCATTACAATACTTTCAGGAATTTATAATTTCATACAATATTCGTATTGTTTTCATTTAGGATGTCATCTAGATCATCGTCATGTTTTTCTCGGAGTATCAAATTTTGGTCAGAGGTGTGTCAAATTTTAATATTTTTATCAAAAAAAACGGACAAACTACTTGCCTTAATCAAATACTGCAGTTAAATGCACAGAGAAAGACATTATCTCCGTCTTGATTCAAGTCAACATGAGTAATAAACAACGGATTAAAGTCGCTTGGATTCTCGCGTCAGTAGTTGGGTACCTTCGCGACTAAAATAATGGCTATATGTTTCCATGACGAAATGTGAGAAATATTTTTTGCTTTGTCTACCAGGGCAGTGCGTTACTCTACATTAAACTTTCACACACATGAAGCAGATACGCGTCAACGTGATCGTAGATAACGTGTATTTACGGCCAGACTTGTATTATACCCTGGATAGGATATCATACTATTTGCTTAATGATGACGCGCACGTATAATGTGGCAATAATGATAAATGATAAAAACCGCGATATAACAAGTATTAATCCGAAATTTAATTCAGCTTATTCCGTGTGGTTTATCATTTTTATTGTTTCGAACTCGCAATTTCGCGCGACTAACGTCGAACTAAATTCGAATCATGATCATACGTCTTCCTTCTACAGTACACGAAATATTTAAAATATTATATCAATCATTTGATCGCATACGTTGTAAAAGAAAAAGAGATTAATTATGTATAGATCATATTATATAATTTTTTAATCTTCAAACTCTTTAATCAAACAATTGGTACAATTAGTCGCCAAGTGACTTCAAGCGCTTTGAATTTAGTTTCCTCAAATCTTAGCCGTCGAGGCGAAACGATCTCGTTCATTTAACACGATATCTTGGCGTTTCAATAATATGAATCAGCAAAGTCAATTCACATAGAAGTAATTCTTTTCTCTTTCTGAGTTAAAAGACCAATCGTTTCTCCGATAATGCGCGTTTGATTGCAGCTGGAATAATCGGTATTCAGAGTGGCATAACACTCACTTGGACGTCGCCGATACTACCATATCTTATGTCAGAGGCGTCCTTCCTTCCCCCACTGTCTGAGGATCAAATTTCCTGGATAACGTCCTTGCTTGCACTGGGCGCTATCGTGGGTGCCGTGCCTGCCGGCAAGATCGCCGATCGTATCGGTCGGAAGTGGTCCATCCTCTTGACGATCGTGCCGTTCGCGACAAGCTGGCTGCTTTTGATCTTCAGTCGGAACGTCGTCAGCATATACATCGCTAGATTCGTCGGCGGGATCGGCGCCGGAGCGGCGTGCGTCCTGGTGCCGATCTACATCGGCGAGATCGCACAGGCGTCGATCCGAGGCGCCCTGACAGCTTTCTTTCCGATTCTCCTCTCCTTGGGGATCGTCTTGTCCTACACAGCAGGCGCGTACTGTTCCTACGTGGCCTTCAACACTATTTGCTGCGCCCTACTGTTCCCTCTCATCCTTGGCGCGCCCTTCATGCCGGAGTCGCCGATATGGCTGGTGCAACGTGGTCGCAAGGCTCAAGTCACCAAAGTCCTATTCACTCTGCGGGGATCGAAGTACGACATTCAGGACGAGATAACTGTTCTCCAGGACGACATAGATAAGGTGGCGAAGGCGCAAGGCGGCTTCAAAGACCTCATCGGCACCCAAGCCGGGCGTAGAGCCATTATCGTCTGCATAGGGCTCATGAGCTTCCAGCAACTGTGTGGCGTGGACGCGATCCTCTTCTACACGGTCACTATCTTCCAGGTGGCCAACAGTACAGTCGATCCCTACGTGGCGAGCATTATCGTCGGAATCGTCGAGGTCGTGATAACAATAGTTGTCGCCACCGTTATCGACAGGTGAGAACGCAAGAGTAATGTATTGCTGTGAACCGAAGATATGAAAAACCGCTGCCGACAGTGTGACAGCTTCAGAATTAACGCAACCTTTGGATTTCTAATGAATTTTGTTGTCCTCTCTCTTCAGGTTCGGTCGCAAACCGCTTCTGATTATATCCAGCATGGCGATGACTATTGATTTGATCGTCCTGGGCTATTACTTTAAGCTCAAAAACGAAGGCGACGTGAATGCCATTGGATGGCTGCCGCTCACCTGTCTCTCCACCTTCAACGTCTTCTTTTCGATCGGCTATGGTTCCGTGCCGTTCACAGTGATAAGCGAGATATTTCCGCCGCAGACCAAGGGCGTCGCCAGCAGCATGTCTATCGTGGTGCACTGGAGCCTGGTGTTCGCCGTTACCAAGCTGTTCCCGTCCATGGAGGACAAGTTGGGCCCCGCTGCGACCTTTTGGACATTCGCATGCTTCACCGCCACGTCCACCGTCTTCGCATTCCTCTTGGTGCCGGAGACGAAAGGAAAAACTTTGCAGGAGATACAAAAGAAGCTCGAACGAAGGAGTAAAACGAGCACAGAGTACCCGGTCGAGCCGGTCTGAAGGCCGGAACATGCTGCCAAAAGCGTTCACCTTGCCGCGCTTTTGCAGCGCCGAAATCGGAAGCGATGCTTACGATACATCCAAGTCTCCTGAAAGTCTAGAAGGTGCGCCTAGAAGAGAAGAAATGCAATTTTTCTTCTTTTTTTACAAGAAGTATCTAATTTATCGCAGAAAAATCACAAAAGTCGAGAGACAGATCAGAGAAACAGAAAAGAAAGACAGAAAAGAGAAAGACAGCTTTTTAATTTATATAAATTGTTTATATATTATTAGCTGTGCTAATTTATACATGAACGATATGCAGAGGATAACCTCATATCCTTTACGAAATCTGTGTTATATTTAGTAGAAACTAGAAATGTGTTGAAAAAAGGACTTAATGTCCAAATTGCAAAACATATAAATTATTTGAATATATCTTCTAAACGGAAAGAAGAATAATCCATTAGGTTTTAGTTTTTTATAATATTTTTCCGTATATATATATTGAGCAATAAGAAACAACACTGTAGTCAATCAATCTTTTGTTACATATTTATATTGCTGTTTAAGAAATTAATATTTTCTTTTACCCTATTACCAAATCTTACTCTATTACCTTAACCTTTTGTCAATAGAATTGCAATAACTGTTCGCAGAAAAATATTAGAGTTGCACTTTGAAATAATGACCGATTTGATAGACACGTTAAATTTTCTCGTTTATGCAAAAATACAGAGAAGCTGAGCAAACCTTTTTACAAGCAAACCTGTCATACTCTATTTAAACTGCGACTGACAAACATCTAGCACCGCTTAGCGGCGTTACGAGGAGATAACGTTAACAGGTTTGAATCTTAGCTGAATATGGGCAGAAACAAGCATGAGAGCGGCCACTAGCCTGATTTCAATGGCCAGAACTAGGCGCATTTTCGAGACGCCATCTAACAAAGTGCGCCTTTACTACGTTCGTTAGGCGCATTTTCGCGGTGGTAACGATAAAATGCACCTATGCTAGAATTCTGTAACTCGTTATTGGAGTTAACGACAGTTTCGTTCTCGTTTCGCAGTTTTTCTACGGTATACAAAAGCTGCACAACGATAACGAAATTGTCGTTAACTCCAATAACAAATTACAGAATTCCAGTACTGGGGCCTTATTATCGAAAAATATCGCATACGATATTTCTATGAAAAGCTATAGTTCATATTACGTATATTATAGCTTTTTATCGAAATATCGTATACGATATTTTTCAATAATACAGGGCTCCTGGTTTGTGCCCGTTGTACTTCCGTACAATGATAGTAAGGAGCTGAACACAATAAAAGGAATAAGGAATAGGGAAGCGGGGAAGGGGGTTAAAAGGTCCGAAAATTATTTGACAGTCATTAAAAATGACTGATGACAAATCGGTGTCCCGAATAGCACTCGAAAAAATTTGGGACAAAGGGTGAAAAATTGCGACGCTGGTCATCTTAACTGTATATGTCGAGAAGGGAGGAGATTATTCCGTAATAATGTACTTACGATATGTCCTGACGATTGTATGTCGCTGTTTCCGGCTCTAATACTAATTTCCGCAGGAGACTCACAGGATACAAGCGAAAGACGTATGGAATACGGAGCGTTGTGTTCATGGCAGTTGCTCGGCATGAAAAGATCGCAGACGCGCGCGCTGACAATCACGTAGACCAAAAGTTCATTAGCGCGCCGAAAGTGCCAAAAGTGCATGAATGTGAACGCGCCAGTAATGCGAACGAGGTCGCGCGTCTACAACGACGCTACCTATACGGCGGACGCCTTAATCAATCGCGTTCGTTTCGCACTATAAAGTTGCCATCGTGGCTATTCAATCTAGGCGTTGGTAATGAATCGCGCGAAATGCTCGATCTTTTCGCGCCAAACAACAGCCATGGGCACACATCGATCCACATTGCTCCGTGTTTCTCGCGTCTTTTATCCGTCGAAAGTGCGTCTCGCGCGTTAATAAGTCTCGGGGATGTCGAGAATAGCGATGTGCAATCGCCGGGGCGTATCGTGAAGACGTCATTTGTAAGTAATCTTCTCGTTTCTCTTTGCGGTATATGCGGTCCGTGCTTGTTGCGACGTGTCGCGCCGACGTTCCTTAAATTTGCTAATAACATCGACTTGCTCAAGTAGCAATAGAATCAAGCGATCATCGGATTTATTGAACGGGAATTAGAAATACGATGACAATCAGAGAGAAAGAGAGAGAAATACGGAATATTCGTGCGGTTGCGTCAGCTTGATAGGAAAAGAAATACGGAGGAAGAAGTATCTTATAGAACGCGTTCTTTTCGGTCGCGGCGCCGTTCATATATTAGCGTATATTTTCAGCGCGATTCAATACTCGCGCGGCCATCTTAATTCTCGATCTTTCTGCATCGAGTAACCGCTGTAGGTAACATCGATCGACATCGCTCCGCATTTTACGCCTCTTTAACCCGTCGAAAATAAGTCTTGCGCGGAAACAAGTATCGGGATATCGAGAATAGCAATGTGCGATCGCCGGGGCGTATCGTGAAGACATCATTTGTAAGTAACCTTCTTGTTTCTCAGTATATAAGGTAACCAGATTTCCCAGCCCTGAATTCGGGATACTTCATAAATGTGTGAAACGTGGGGCAGGGGAAAGGGCGTAAAAAGATTCGAAAATTACTTGACAATCACTGAAAATGATGACAAATCAGTGTCCCGAATAGCACTCGAAAAAATTCGGGACAGAGGGTGAAAAATTGGAACTGTCGCAAAAAATTCGGAACGTCTGATCACCTTACGATAATAACTGAACAAAGACGAGGTAAAGAAATTGTCGTAACGGCGGTCATTAATTATTTCAATTTTCTCTTTCGCGTAAACTTGAATCGCGATTGCATTTCATAGAGTTCGTGTTTCGTTAAATAAAATTCGATATCGTGCGGCATCTGCGCGAAGCGAACTAACGTGATAATATAAACTGCTCGCAAAATTAATTTCACGATTGTCGGAAAATTTTCAATTTTTCACTTAGAATCATAGTTTGTGTCCTAATACGGGACATAAAAGAGACAATGCTAGCGAGCGTTGGTCTCTCGCAAAAAACGCGATGTATACAAGTCAAACGTACGAGCAGTTATTTGTTTACTTACGCGGCGCGCAACAAGTTCCATCGAACGAAGACAGACATCTTACGCGGTAACATTTTTTTCGCGTAAATTTTGAATAGAATCTTTATCTCTATCGTTATAATTTTCATAGTTTTTGATTTTTCATTCACGCTCGTGTTCGCGATTATTAATTTGATAGGTTTACGAACTTCACCGGATCGTATTTGCGGAAGAGTCGCGAGCGAACTTCGCAGAAATATTGTGGAGTTGTCTTCGCAAAAGTATTGTGGAGCTGTTATCCACAAAAATATTATAGAGCTGTATTGCTACTACGCTGCATCGAAACGTTACATTAGAGAGATAGTTTTTTTAAATTTCTTAAAGTAACATTCACGCTTGAAAATGTGTATTTTCGAAAATGAAGTCAAGTGTGCTTATTTCAGAGCTTATATGGAATACATATTTATTATTATTCAAAGTAAATAAAAAAAAAATATATATATATATCTTTTCTGCTCTTATGTTAGATCAAATATGTAACTTGTATATATAAATTTTGTATATTTATTTATTGTTTTATATGATCCATTTTCCAAATTTTTCTTTCTTCCAAAATTACGTAGAACGCAGCGCGTGTAAGACGAGACTCATGAGAGATGATCTAACTTTGCGATCTAACTTTGATCTAACCGGCGCTAGCTCGCTTTATGCCTACGTCCCGTTGTCCGCTCATCAGTGGTGTGACAAGATCAGAACGATTGGACATCTGTCCTTTTCTAACTTACTATCACTATATTGAAATACTACTGCGAAAGTGCGCCTAACGGACGTAGTTAGGCGTATTTTTGTTAGATGGCGTATTTAAAATGTGCCTAGCTCTGGCCGCTGAAATCAGGCCTGTGGCCGCTCTCAGGCTTCTCTCTGAAATGGATGTCGGTAAAACAAGGTTTAAGTTTTGACTAAATAGTTTGTTTTAATTCCAAAATCTCGAAGCCATTTCCAATAGCAACTGTAGTCGGATTCAATAACGGATCAAACGAATTTTTTATTCCCTGGCAGCATGATACAATGGCGAATGAAACGTTCTTATTACTTTCACAGAGGATAAATGACAGGTTATAACTTTTCCTTTCACAAGTGTCTAATACTAGATCGATAAGCAATAAGAGCAGATAGAGATAATAAAGAGAAATAGACAAATGTGCGTCTCTTTGAAATTGAGTGGAATTTTTGAAACTACTGTTTGACTCCAAAATTCATTTACTCCCAACAAACAAACATTACGTAGCGTTGTAGACACTCAATGTAAAATATATCAAAGAATTACACATACATTCTATAATATATTAATTTCGGATAATTAATTTTATTAATACTTATTTTCTCCTCGTGACAAATTATATGAATAAAGAAAAGAATGCAAAAAGAAACATAAAGAAATTTCGATAATGTAAGGAAAATCAAATAATAACAAGACTTTAATCAAACAATATGATTGTAATGTACTATTATATTGTATTTCAATGAGAAGATTATTGCTTTATTTGAGTTAGGAATCACAGGTCGGTAAAACAAAGTTCGAGTCTTGGCTAAATAGCTCCGTTTTAATTCCAAAGTCTCCGCTATAAGGCGCCACCATTTCCAACAGCAACCGCAGTCAGATTCAATGGTAGATCGAATGAACTTGTTATTTCTTGACAGCGCGATATAACGGCGAATGAAACGATCTTATTACTTTCACAGAAGCTCAATGACAGGTTAGATTTTTTCCTTTCGTAAGTATCTAATACTAAAACGATAAACAATATGAGGAAATAATAGAAAGTAACAGACAAATGTGCATCTCTTTGGAATTGAATGGAATCTTCAAAACACTAACATTTGCCTCCAAAATTTATTTTGTCTTTTTAATATTTTTTACTCCCAACATACTAACATTATTTAGCTCTGTAAGTGTTCAATATAAAATATGACAAAAAATTATATTCATACTCTAGAATATATATTAATTTCGTGTAACTAATTTTTTTAACACATACTTTCCCCTTATAACGAATCATATAAATAAAGAAAAGGATGGAAAGAGAAGCACAAAGAATCTTGGTAATATAAGGAGAACCAGATAGTAACAAGACAATTGTCAGACAATTTTATCGTAATGTGTTACTATATTGTGTTTCAGTGAGGAGATTATTGTTTCATTCGAGTTAGGAATCAAGTCGATAAAACAAAGTTCAAGTCTTGGCTAAATAACTCCATTTTAATTCCAAAGTTTCTGCTACGAAGCTCCACCATTTCAAATAGCAATCGCAGTTGGATTCAATGGCGAGTCGAACGAACCTGTTATTTTCCGAAAGCGCCACAGCCAGTTAAACGACTTTATAACTTCCAAAGAGGCTAAATGACAGGTTAGAACTTTTACTTTTACAAATATCTAATACTAAATCGACGAAAGGAAATAATGAAAAAACGAAATAGAAATAATGAAAAGAAATTGACAAATATATATCTCTTTGGAATTTAAGAAAATCTTCGAAACTAACGTTTGTCTCCAAAATTCATTTACTCCTCTTAATATCTTTTGTTGCCAACTACTGACATTACTTAGCGCTATAAATATTCAATGTAAAATATGGGAAAGAATTATTTTCATGTTCTAGAATACATTAATTACGTATTTTAGAATACGTATTATAGAATTAATTCCGGATAATTAATTTTCTTTCACTTCCTCGTTGTGAGGAATTACATGAATAAAGAAAAAATGCAAAGAAAAACAGAAAGAGTCTTGATAATATGAGAGACATATATAATAACAAGACACCGATAAGACAATTTAGTCGTAGTACTATTGCGTTGTGCTTCAATGGGCAGATTATTGTTTGATTTAAGTTAGGGATCAAGTCGGTATGACGAGGCTAAAGGAGATAGCGTCATTTCCTGCGTGTATTCTTCGGACGTGCTTACAATAGCGACATTCCGTCTGTGACACCACTTTTCGCACACGGTGTACGTACGCTTTGTGCTCGATATTGGCTTCAATGCGATTATGTCGCCCCACTTGACGCAAATCCTGCCTCCTGTGTCTCTATTTCTTCTTTGTCATTATTATGATTGTAACGTGATGCAAATTACAATCTTCTCGAATTATACAACGCGCTGAAGCATCGCGCGAGTAAAATTCATGCGCGGGCTCTTCGACCGACGCAAAGTAAATTTCCCCTTGGGGGAAAAAAATTACTGAACGTTATTTCTTACATAATAGACAAAATGTAACGCTCGCTTGTGTATTCTATGTATTACGGCAGCGAGATAGAATTTTTGCGCCGCGCGAGATTAATAACGCGTTCCTCTACCGAAAACAATGAAATTCCTCTCGACAGCGTAAATAAATGAGCAAGCATCAGCACTTGAAGAGGAGCGAGAACTTCGCGACTCTATAAATCCTAAGTAGGGCTGGGTTTCCGCAGGTTTGAACAACTTATCCTTCATAAGTCGCACTGATGACGCCCAACAGTGCGGAGTTTCATCGTTCCTTTCCGCCGTCTCTCTCTAAAGACTTATGGCGCTAAGGAAACACGGAACGTGGATGAAAGAAAAGTTGTGATCATATGTTTTTAACAATGGTTTGATATGTAAAAAATAGATTTGAGAAGTAATATCCGGCGTGTCGTCTCTTTTTATTCCCTTAATAACGAGTTTCCTATTGTTGCTATAAAAGTGCTTTGAAATCGAGTCATGATATGTCTATGAACACGTGCAGCTTTGTCAAATATATGTATACATTTATGCTTTTCTGATGAATGTCCCGATTCGCACAAAAGATACTTTGAGTATTTGCGTTTTGCTCGGATATTAGCGTGTCCGCTAGACAAATATATTTCTCTTTCTTTCATATTTTTCATTCATATCTTTTCATTTCCGAATTTTGAGAGGGGGACGACCACCTTTTGTTTTCATCGATTTAAAATAAAATGCATTGTTTTCAATCAGTAACTTAATACGTTGACTTCTATAAACAAAAAACTTATCTATACATAGAAAACTGACTTTTTATTTCAGGTTTTTTACTTACTTTTTGTTTTTCAGATCTAGCGGAGATTGTGGTAACACGGTGAATGCGGTTCCCGGGAGGGGCATTTCCTAGGTGGATGCGGATGACGCACCGGAGAATCCAATTCGGGCCGAATAGAATCGGCACGAAGGTAGGTTTACTAAGGAAAGGAGTTTTTTGTAAATCTTTTTGTGGTTGAAAACTGAAACATATAGTTCAATTGTCCAAATAAAAATCGTTAACCTACAAAGTCGGAATATGTGATATTTCATACGCGTAATTATTTTGGTTATTTTGAGCAATAACTTCGAGCCCTCCCGAAGCTCATATTCATACATACTTTTTTTCACTAAGCTATTAATTCTCATATCTAATCAACGATGCTATATTTTTTGTTTCAGAACTGCTGAACGTGGCTCTGATTATAAGTTCCCGATATTTTGGTGAGTCAAAAACAAAGATTTACAATAGTAGTTCTATTGAAGTTAGAGTTCAAGGTTGGAATTAAAAATTAAAATTTTTGTAAAACGAAAAAAACGTCTTTTAATAAAATTTAAAAAAAATATATCATTACTCGGGACAACCAAAGCATGATAATTTTGCGTACGAAGTAATATAATACGCACATTTTGATCGATTCGAAATAGTCAAGATCACGTGCGACGTTCTCGCTCTGTTTAATATCGCGTCATAGATTGTTATAATTGTTTGCGTTCGCTCGGCACCACCAAGGTCGCGTGACTTTCAACCGGTGAATATACGCTCACGAGAAGTCTGTTGATTTATTTACTCATTAATCTAATACTTTCTATATATATATATGTGTATGTGTGTGTGTGTGTGTGTGTGTATATGTGTGTGTGTGTGTGTGTGTGTGTCGTAATTTTAATTTCATATATTATTTCATGGTATTTAATTCCCCTTTGATACTCAAATTATCAAAATTCAATTCTTCAGCAACAACTATCATTCGTGATAACTGTGGAAGTAAGCAACGACTCACATATATCATGGTATATTTTTTACATACGGCACAAAAGAGAACAACTAGTCAACAGACTTTTTTTAAGATAGCATGACCGTAATAATATATATGTATTGTTTTAATTTTATGTGAGAGAAAAACTTGAACAGATTTTACAGTACTTTTTTGTTCGCGAAGAATCGTATTGCATTACACACAAAAAATTTATAAAAATACTTTATACAATATCTATACACAGCACACTCAGAATGCTTCATAGCTTGAATTTTAAATCAGATAAAATATTTTGTAAACATCACGATTAATTTGAATATCTTTTCTTTGTTACAAAATTCCGCGCTCATAAATATGTTTCGTCCTGAATTCCTTTGAATGTTATATCGAGGACAAAATATGTATTTCGCTCTATCCGTGGACATACGTTGTACAACTACATTTCGTACGAGTGGAATATCTCAAACAACACTAGTTACACATTCGTCGCAGAGGCGATACGTTACAGCGCGGCTTATCTGAGATCGGTAGCTTATCTTACACGAAATATTGCGAAGCATCGCAACTGCAGAGTTTTGCAGCAATTTTATGCATTAAGATGTGCGCTCCGGCATAACCGTTATAAACGATCCTCTGGCATTAAGAAGAAGTCGAAATTTCCTTACAACGACATTTCGTAAAGATGATAACCAACATAAATGTAATAAAAGTTTATATGTGTATGTGTATATGTAAATAATTTACTTTATAGGAAAAGAAAAATTTGCCGATGTAGCAAACTTTTCTGGCCGCGAATCAAAATATTCACAGAAATTGCAAATTGATTTGACTAAAAACAAACTAATTACCTTGCTATTATAACAACGCTACAATTCCATTTGGTCGCACAGATACTAATGTCTGCAAATTGCTGCGCGATAGAATTTCTATTTTGTATTTATCATTCAAATACAACAGCAATATACACGTGCAATATTCCCGAAAAATGAGAAAAGCAACACAATGCTTCTTAATAATTCGTCTAGTTATAGTAACATTACAATTTAATGATGCAATGAGCTATTCGACATTCGTATGATATTTGTTGATAACGTAACGGTAAAATACGTATTTGCAAAACGCGTTTATTATCTCGTTTCCGACAGTATCAATTAGCTCACTTGAGAATTTAAGCTCGGGATAGAAGAGCTTATTGCGAGATCGCCAATGCCGCGAAAGTACCTTCCGCCTTAGACTCGTGGGAATGTACGTCCGGATACTTTTTGAGGGTAACGTAATGCCGGATAAGTTTTGGAATTCGCGAGAGCCGTACACATACATATTCGCGATGTGCACACTCGCGCGTGAAAGCATTATCGGCCGCGCGACTCGTCTACGATGAAGACGATCATATGTTTCTCACCTATCTCGGTGATTAATCGTCATTACACGCGCCACCTCTCAGATTTAAACGCGGCCCCTAAATCGCGGCTTATCCGAGGCGGAGATGGTGTTAAACGGGGTGACGCCACCGACCATCAGTAATCACACATGCGGCGTGGATTTCCCCCGCTCAACTATATCATTGGATAACGGTCCGGTTAGCCGGGAAAATCACGTCCAGCTTAAGAGAACAGATGAAAGTCGGTGTTAAATAACGTCTCATGCATTAATTTAACGGCGCGTTTAACGGCCCGTATGGGCCGTAATGTTACTCGTCAAATCTAACGTTACCCTCACCGTCAAATTTATATTTCTCGGATATCACGTGTCATGTCGCGAGCCGACCGACCGTTGACGTTTCAATTCAGAGTGGAAAGTCGTGTAATATAGAGAAGAGGAGATTGTAATTCCCGGGAGATCGGAAGGAAACCAACGAAAAAACGGCGCGTCGCTCATATTTTTCGTCCTTGGTGAGATTAATCCTAACAAATTGCATATTACAACACCGACTGCTGAGTCGTAAGTAGAGCTCGATAGAGGAAGGTGCTCTTGAACAAATTTCAGTGTAAGCTCATTATCGTGACTATCGCATTTTTAATGATATTTAAGTCTCGAATTAAATCTCCGTCGAAGCAATGCTCGTCAGACACATATTAATTGAAAAAATTAGATTTCGCCACCTATAAGTCAGGACAGGCGCGATTGGCCGTTCTCTGTTCGATGTTGAAGCTCGTAATCGCGTTTGCTGAAATTCCCGCGGAGAGAAGTCACCCCTTTCCCCGACTCATCGAGCTTCACATCCACTGCTTCATCTACATTCCCTAAATTGATCGAGGCTTCCATCTCCATTACCGAGGAGAGCTCGCGTATCATCAAAGGGAAAAAAAACCGATCACGACGAAAACGACAGGATGTAACACCACGGATATATCTTCGCTCGATGTCGGGGCGCATAATAAAAGCCCCGCTAAAATATCCGCCGGGGGAAAACTTGTCGGCCAGCCGATCGAAACCCTCGAGCCCGAGCTGAGCAATTCCGCATCTCGTCGAGCGGAAGCCCCGTTACCACGACGGAGGATATCGCGTAACGGGCGCGAAGCGATCGCCCGAGCCTCGTAACATGGGAACGATAATCCCGTAAGGACGAGAATTACGTGCCGCCGCGGAAGAGCCGGCGTCCGCGCGCGTTAACCCGCTCTCATCCGGCGGAATCTGGTGTCGATTGGCGGATTAATTACAGCGCGTGTCCTGCGGAACGGGGATGCAATTCGCCCGGCCGGTCTGGCTGCTTGCCGTATCCTGCTCGTTTCTATGCTGCCTCCACCACCTGCAGGGGGTTGGTTGCGCTCGTCGTGGGCCTCGGGTGGGGGTTAGCGTCAGCAACGGTAGCGGCGGTGGGTGTTCGTGCAGGTACGCGGTATCCTCCGCGACCATCACCACCACCACCGCCACCAGTACCACCACCTCCATCACCACCACTACCACCAACACCATCACCACTTGCAGCGCTACTACCACCATCAACATCAGAACACCAACGGCATCGGGCCACCCTCTCCACCCACCCCCTTGTCGCGTTCTCGCCGTAGGGCTGCGCGTGTGTACGTGTCGAGACCCCGGTGTACGTGTACGTACACGTCGCTATGCCGACGAAGATTCCGTGGCCGGCGTTCTCGGCTCGGTTCGTTCGATACGCGCGCGCGCGCACGCGATGCCGATGGGGTTCGGTGCCGACAGTGCCGCCACAGCTCTCGGAAGAGACGCCCGTGATTTTGCACCCCCGCTCGAGCAGAATTTACCGGACTATACGACGAGGGTGCACCACGGCTCTCTGTCTTTCTCTCTCTCTCTCTCTCTTTCTTTCTTTCCCTCTATCTCTTTCTTTCTGTCTAGTCTGTCTGTCTGTCACTATCCACGCTCTCTCTCTTTCTCTATCTGTCTTTCTCTCTCTCTCTCTCTCTCTCGCTCTCTCGCTCACTCACTCATTCTCTCTCTCCCTCTCTCTAGAGCCTTTCCTCTTCTTTCTCGCACTCTCGCACAAGACATCTTCCCTCGCGGCGGACTGTCTCTCCCTTTCTCGCTTTCGTCTTTTCTCCTCGTTGTCGTTGAACCGCTCGTACCATTCGCGCGTCGCTACGTGCCCTCGGCGAATAACACGGTGACAGATGATGAGTGAGTGTTGACGGAGTCGACCGCCGGAGTCTCGCCGCTGGTGATCCCGACGCCTCGTGCTGGTGGGTGCTCGTGATGCTAGTGACTCACTGATACGAGGTGACCACGCTGTTTGCGAGAGTGCGAATGTGTGGGCGGACGCGCCTTCTCCCCGCCGGTGTATGTATCTTGACGAACTGGCTAATCGCGTCCAAGTCACATCGCACCGACAGCCACCGTTCGGGCTCCTCTGCACGTAGTTCACGTGATCCCGCTGGAACGCGAGCTGTAAACGTTGAGAGGGTCAGGGTGATCGACCGGAGCGACGGGGTGAACGACGATATTCTGTGACGACGCGTATCCAACGTGCGCTCAAGCTTCATTGTCGAAGAACGGTGAAGCACACGAGGGTGCACGATCGAGGGAAGGAAACAGACGTCTGGATTCATCGATCAGACATCGACCGCGGTCGACTCGCGCGCGCGTTTCCTCGGGATGCTCTCATATCCGCGCGACACGCTGCAGTACGTGTCATCAGCGATTTACACGACAGCTTGTACGCTTCAGTGACGTGTTTAATGATCGATGATAGCGAGTCGCAGGCAATCACGTGGTCAACTTTCACTCGTCCTCGCACGCATATATTTATAATGAAATTTACCCAGAGACTAAGTGTCGGCGAAAGGAGCCGAGATTCCAGCGCTGCTAGCGTGGTCGGTCGATGCTTATAGCAGGTAGTACCATGACACTCGTAGTCGCCGACATTCGGAATGAGCTATGTGCAGGCACGGACTCCTTGACCTCTTAAAGTCGCAACACGACACGAGGAGTATACAGCGCGATGTGTAGCCCGCTCTCAACAATATAGCGAGCTAAGCTAAGCTCGCCTCGAGCAAAAGTCGCAACGGAATAACTCAAGGTGGTAGCGATCGAACTTCCTGAAATTTCAAGAAGTTCGTCGTCGACTTGGAAGGCACGTCAAATCGGCTTACACGCGCTTTACACGCCTTACCTCCGCGAGTCGCAATACCGCCGTAACACCATCGTAATCTGTCAGACAGAACGGCGCGGTTTCCGATAAGCGAGGTCAGTAGAAACTTCCAGGTGCGAGTCGCGCGAACAGCCGAAAAGTCTCCACCCCCACCACACCCCCCCGCTATCCGTAACACACACGTGAACACTCTCGTCTGCGCGGCGTTTCGCGTATTGACCGTCAACAGTAAAACGTCATGAGTCCACCGGGTATTTCACCCTACTTGCCCGTAATACATTCCTAGTAAATCGATCTGAGGCTACCGGAAAAACAAGCCGTCGCAATTTCGCAGCGTGGCGCATCACTGACGTGCAGATACGCCCGCGCGCGAGAGGCTGATGTCTTTTCTACGTGAACTCCGTGAACTTCCAGCCCTAGCTCACACAAGGCTCAGAGTACGAAGTAATTGAAACGAGATACAATATCTCCTTATGGAAGAAATCCTCAGTTTTCAAATCAAGATCCCGCAGACAGTGACAGCCATTTCGTTCAAATGTGATACAAGTGTATAATGTGAGGTGTAATTAACAGAGAGAAAGATGCTTCACGTGGGTCCTCGCTGACGGGGAAAAACCGATCCGAAGTGGCACATCCGAGGTAACCCGGATACAGACGCGGTGGGACCGAGGCGTCGCATAAATCGACGAAAAAATATCGAAAAAGGTAGAAATCGTGAGAAAGCGCGAGACCGGCATCCCGATATCCCTCTGTAATTCTTTTACGCTCCGCACTCGAGGATCCCGCTGGCTGGTCGACCAATAACAGCGTAGCGTGTATCGACCGACCGAGCAATTGAGCCCCAAGGCAGTTTAGCGATAGCATGAGGCCGACAAGTCCAGGATCGAAAGGGATGATCGAGCAAAGGTCCCAATGACATCTCGGCGGGGTGGGAGCGAGGGGTATAAAAGTCCTCCCAGTCCTCCGAGCAGCGGTTCGGAGGACAATGGTTTCACGAACCGGCCTCGAGTTGCCGGGCTCTATGTGAAGAACCTCAGTAGAGAGGAGCTGGATGAATTGGCCAAGGAGGGCATCTACGGGCCCACGGGCAATCCGAACGACCGACCCAGAGACGGCGGTAGTCAGAGAAGCCTCAATCTGCCGGGTAGCAGCAGGGACGGTCAGGATTATCTCAGAGGAGTGACCTCTAGAACACCTCAGCCACCCAGGAGATCCGGCGTCGGAACTAGATACCGAGAAGCCAGCGAACTATCGGAGGACTTGGCGCGAAGGGATCATCATGGCTCGCTTCCCTTGGAAAGAGGTTGGTCGAGGCGACTGGAAGATCGTCCAGGCCAGGGCTCACCGGAGAGATTCGTCCGAGGATCCTCCGAGTTTCCTGCTGCCTGGAGAGAGCCACTCGCCCGGCCAGGCGCTACCGCATCGCCCCGAGGAAGTTCCATCGACGTGCGACTCATTGGCGAGGAATCCAGAATGCCGACTCCAGGACCACGTCGTTTCGCGGAAGGTCCTAGACGCCCTCCAGAGGGACCTTCACCTCGCGTGACTCCCCCGATTGGAACCGCCAGGGAGCAGGGAACGCCGGGACCGATGAGACGATCGCCACCACCGTACACGGGCCTGAGTCCACCCGAGTATACCGAGGACTTGCGTAGAATTTCCCCCAGAAGCGCGACAAGGTCCTACCAGATCGACAGGGACTCGCCGTACGAACGTCCGTGCTCGCCGATGCCGGTGCCGGACAAGGACTCTGGAAGCTCGAAACAAGCGAGTTCACGCGCCGACACCAGCAAGACAAAGGATGTTCCATCGAGTCCATCGCAAACAACGGTAACGGAGAAGCCGACCTCTCCCGAGTCCAAGAAAAGCGAGTCACCACCGACGAAGAAGAGCGGCTCGAAGGTGCAGGACAGCACGAGACTGCGACCGCCGTTGGCTGGAACTGCCGGGACTTCCGCCGACTCCGGCACCGGCGATTCCGGAAGCGCGGAGATCCAGGCCGACGTTGTGGTGACTCCCCAAGCGACGTCGGGCGACATTCTGGACGCCAACGCGGCCAAGATCGACGGCAAGTCGCCCGGCTCGCGGACACCCGGTAGCAAGGGCGGCAAACAAACGGTCAAGCCGTTCACGAAGGAAAGTCTCGACAGGTTGGAGAACAAGACTGTGCAGTTAGTGCGCGACTATGGCTTTCAACCGAAAAGAAAGATGTCGGTGGAGGATGGTGCAGTACTGCCAAACAAATTCGAACCCTTCCCGACCGAGCTCTACGGCAGGCCGCTGGAGGAGATCGACAATTTCATCTACGACGAGGTGAGTCCACGACTTCGATTGTGTATTTTTGTTTCTCCACTCCCACCCCTCTGAGTTCGCTTGGATAAAATTATTTGAGAGACAACTCCTTTTAATTTGATGATGCACCTATATCCGAGTATACCGCTCGGCGATCTTGGATAATTAAGTTTATATTATAACGCTATGTTACCCTAATCCACGGGATAATACGGGGTAATGGTACGTTGGGCAAATATTTACCGAAAATCTCGCTGGGATTCTATCCTGGCGAATAATGTCTCTTTAAACCGAAGACAAGCTTACGCATTGAATTTCCGCAAAATCGGCATACGACCATTTTCCAAAGTAACTCCGTCCTGTACCTCACCGTAATCACAACTTAAACTTGTAAGCTTCGCGAAAAAAGGGAAAGAATATGTTAAAAGACCGTGCAACAGAAAATCGCGCTATAACGTGACGCGACGATGCAATTTCAGTAGCCGCGTATTTTCAATTTATATCGTCCGGTACTGTTAGAATGGTGGGCCTCGGGAACGGCGAAAACACCGTATCGTAATTTTCGTCTCAGTAAATAAATTTCACCTCTCGACTGTAGAGTGAGTGGAACAAAGGTGAAAAAAAACGGTAGGCGACAGTAAGAAAGAAATTGAAAAAAAGGAAAAAGACGAATAGGGGTGAGTCGCTGGGGGTGTGTGCGCGCAGGGCAGACGGAAGGAACTGAAAACAGTGATGAGGAGAAGAACCGTGAGAGGGGAATAAGGCGAGAGGTAGAGAGAGAAGGAGAGAGAGGAGAGCTCGAGAAAGAAAGTGGGCGTTGAGAGAGTGGTATGATGGAAAGAGTAAAAGAGTGGAGAGGGAGAGAAGAAGGGCGCGGATCGACGCGGAGGACATCGAGTGAGAAAAAACAAGAAAGACGGCGGGAGACGAGAAGGGTTGGCGTGAGGCAAAGGGAGCAAAAAAATTAGGCGGTTTCGAGAGTGTCTGTGCGTATGTGCGTGTGTGCGAGAGAGAGAGAGCGTGTGCATGTGAACGAGCGTATGCATTACACATCTATTTATATTAAAAATCGATCGACCGCTACTATTCGCGACTTGTTCTCAAATAAGGTGTCTCTATCGAATCCACAGGAGATTATATGGGTCACAAAGATACTCGTCGGACGTCTTTAATTATTTTTTTCATCTAGCTTGCTTTCAATGTTCTCGACGCTTTTATTTATTGACCAACAGGTCTAAATATATTTCGACAACTTTAACCCGTCACGCTCCGAGTACTAACTTTAGTTGATTTCGTGAATTCTGGCATTATACCTCACACGCATGTCGCTTCAATCGACAATAACAATAAAATTGTGCCGAATTCAAATAAAATTACTCTAACCGACTATTGACACGAACGGATTCTTACATCGACAGTGTTGACGAATAAATTGTCAACGTCATACAGATGTTTACGGAACGTAACGCGGGTGTGATCAAATCGATGAGAATGAGACGGAAATTTACGTGCAGCCCGACAAAAATTTAAGATACATTGTTGTGTAATCATTTTTATTTCACACGCACGCGGGTCGTTCAACGTAGAATTCAAACAAGCTTTCTTAGTAAACTCACACTCACGATGAAAACTTCCAGTAAGAGCGAGAGTAAATTTAATTGCAGAAATGTTTACCGTTAAAGGGTTTTTCTCCCGAGGTTACCAACAATTCGCAAAACATTGCACCGCGTAAGAGTCGTGTTGACGCAATTCCCATTATACTCCGCTACTCGTAAATTATCATAACGGATACGTCTGCAGCGCCGTTTGTTTACGGTGCTCAAGTGCCAGCTCGATACGCGGCCACGTAGAAAAAGCTTAAGCTTCGGTAAGCTCGTTAGGCTCCTTATGCAAGGGAGCAATGAATCTTTCTTGAACGACTGGCGAGTTGTTATTGCTCTCTCTTCTCGCGTGCGCTCGCTTTTTCAAATGAAAGCGTCATCATATATCTCTCGCGCTATCCCCGTCGCGACCAGAGCGAAAACTGCCGTTCCGCGAAGTGAGTTAATGTATCTTTAATATCGCGACGCACGGGACCGAGAAAATAAAACGTCGCGCGAGAGCGCACTGCGAATAGGAAAGCATTATTTATCGGATGCAATGCTTCGCCATCCGTTAACGAATTGTCGCGGCGTCGTGATTCCCGTCGCGAAAGAAGTCCGCGGTTTTTTCTTGGATCAGCCCGGTATCATCTTTATCAGATTCTCCATCCCTCCTGCGCGCCCCGTAAATATGGCAAAGTAGTTTGCGATAATTATGTTAGCGCTGCCGTGCTTCTCCGCTACGTGATATCCACTGTGCAGCGGACTGCAAAAACGCGTTCCGCAATTTCCAAGATGATGGAAAGAGCCGCTGCGGGAGATGTTGATTTTTGCAGTAGCGTAGGAAAACCACACGTGCGACCGTAGTGTGCGTCGTGGGATTTCGTAATTCGATTCGGAATTTTGAGGGTATTTTCCGGTGTATTAAGGCGTAGATACAAATGTGGATCCGGATGTTCGAATTATCCGAATAGCATGGAAAACAAATCACAATGACAGATCGTAAGTCAACCCTTTCGCTATCACGGAATATATATGTCTCGGGACGTATGTTTTCCTTATCATTAATAATGATCTTATTCAATTGAATAAACAGCTTTTCTGTCATGCAAAACACATCAGCTATTACTCCGCGTATTACCGTTGGGACAAATATGCTCTCCCAAAAACTCCAGCGGAATATCAGTATCCCTCAACCTTATCTTTTTGGTGTCAAACATAAATCTTCGAATTTTTTTGTTAAAACAACATTGTATTAATGTATTTGATGAAATGAAAGTAAAACAAAAATGGTACCTTTGAAAGGTAAAGTTGGTAGCAAAAGGATTAAGGTAAAAGTACCAATTCTCTCAAACACGTATTTATCCTGGATATTCTTCTTTCTTTGGTTTTTAAGTACGAAAATTTAAACATATAAGAGATAAATTTAAACATATTAGAATATAAATGTACATACATTTTATGTAAAATGTATGTACATTTATATTCTAATATGTTTAAATTTATCTTTTATATGTTTAAATTTTACATTACATACATTTAATATAAAATGTATATACATTTATATTCTATTTTTGATTCTAAATTTTGAATACATTTAAATTTTTCGAGATATATTCGAGTATGGGTACAATTATGGATTCGGATATTTGAATTGTTTGAATAGCATAAAAAATAAATCGCAATAATAAATTCTTCGATAATTCGTGTTAAATTAAGATACAAACACCAATTTTTCCGGACACGTATCTAATTTTATACATTCTTATTATTTTCGTCTTTAAATACGAATACTTAAACTTTTAACATAGAATATATATATACTTCCTTTATGATTAAATGTTCGCATTTAAAGATCAAAATAATAGGAATGTCCAAGATTAGATACGGGTACGGGCATTGATACTTTTATCTTACAGTCATATAACAGTCATACTTCATAATTCTATATTTTGAGGTATTGACTCAAATAGATATATGGTAATTTGGATGATGACAAACGCGGATGCGATAATTGCATAATGCAATTCTATTATTTCTCCTGAAAATGACTCGGAGAGTGATATAAATTGAACGAGAAATGGTCTATTTTCTGAAACTACGACTTATAATTACGTTTCTAAAGAAAGATAAAAATGTTCCTAGCTGAATGCGAATGAAGATATCGCGAATGTAATTGTCGCGAATTTCTTTCACAAAACACGCGAGAGATAGAGAGGGGGAGAGAAAGAAAGCGACGCGAGATATTCTTCATGAAGCCAACCTTTCAATATCTCTTCTGCCACTTTCTCAGGCGGATCACGTGCGCGATACTCGATCTGCGACATTTCCATCGTTTGTCTGCAACGTACGTTCGCAAATTGACGATAGGGCAAAAAAAGTACCTTGGCACTGACAAGAGTATCGCCTTCGCAGTCGTTTATCGTGAAACCCAAGAACCACCGCCGTTTCTAAAACGAATATGCGGTTCGCATTGTTTTAAGCGGCTCTTTTTCATTCAATTGTTTGTAACGTGTACACGCATGTCACGATCTCCCGAGAGATTTTCGACGAATGTTTACATTGAACTTGCACGTGGTTTCCAAAACAGCTTCATTACGAATGAAATCAACTGCGAATTTATGGACTTCAGGGAATCCGCGAAAAGGACACAAATAACTTGGATAACGTTGTAGATAGCGAAGTGTTGATAAAGTGCTAATTTATATTCTCATTATGCAACTACACGTACTGAAAAACATTTTGTATTCGTGTTAAAATCAATTTATGTAAAAATTTGTGTTCAAATTTCCAACATACCCGTGTGTTAATTTAACATATTGTCGCTGTTTTTATTCTGTGTGAGGAATTTACATCCACAAGTGTTAAAATAACACAACAGTGTCCAAGTGTTACATCTTTGTATTAATTTCCGCCATATTATCTGTGTTATTTTTGTCTACATATCTCATGCTAAATTACTACATAAATTAGAGTGGATCAATTTGGACGTGTGAAATTTAACGCGAGATCCTTTATAATGCAAACCCTGCGATTCACGTTGACTGCTGTCAATTACGTTCATTTCGCGTAGCGAATTAGTTGTATAACTGTCGCAATCTCACTGTCCTTGTAGCTCGGAAAGCGAGAACCGCACTAATCCGACGGGATTTCAGCTCGATACACTGTAAACTGAAGTGTGTTATTTTTAAACGCGTAATTTAACTGAATATCTCTTTGCGTCGTCACTTCCAAATCAGACCATTTGACACGTTTTATACGTTAAGAAAGAGACATATAAATTATAATTCAATACGTTTAAGCATGTCAAATGTCAGACTCAGAACGGTAAGTGATACGATGTAAAAAGAGATTCAGAAATCAGAACGATGTAAAAAGAGATTTAGCCCATCCAAGATGACACACTTGGATTCGCAGTGCACTCGGTTATCGAGACATTTG